ACTCTATTTGTTTTTTAAAATGTAGTTGGTATTAGCCTAGCAAATAATGTATTGTTTACTGTTTTGAACTTTGTATAATGTATGAATTGAGTCAGCTTTAGAGGCTTGGAACTACCATCACAATTAAACTATTCAATTTTGGTTTATCCCAAACATTATTGGGAGGACTTCAAAAATGCCACTTTTGAAATACAGTACTAATTCACTCATATTGTCTTGAAGATTCGGAGCCGGTCTCACCGGAATCAATTAGCCGGCGAAGAATCAGAGCTTTTAGAGAGAACAAAATGGCTTAATCGATGGATGGCTACAAAGCAATGGGACAACACAATCACCACCAACTACATACAAACCAAAGATCCGACCAAGACTCTTGAGATCGATACAACACATAATCAGAGATCATATCCGGCGACTCCACCTTCGTGTAGAGCCACTAGGTCGTTTGGGTTAAGATCAGCTAGTCCGAGAGTACAATGTTCTTCACCTTCTTCGATGTTGCAGCCGAATTACATGACGGCGACTGAGTCGGCTAAGGCCAAGGCAAGGACTCAGAGCACACCACGGCGGAGACCCACGACGGCGAAGAAGCGGTTGTGTTTTGCGGAGGAAGAGAGTTTGAGAAGTCCGAGCTTTAAGAGTGTCTATAATGGTGGTGGTTGTCTTTGGGAAGATCATGAATCTGATTATTCTTGTTGTTACGGTGATGGGTTCACCGGAAAAATCTCGCCTTGTTCGACGACTGATCTCCGGTGGTTAAAGTGAGAAACTTTTTAGTTGTTGTAATATTCAAGATCATGTGATTTGTTTTTTGTTTCTTGATTCTTACTCTTAGTTAAATACTTAACAATTGTGTTCGGATTTGGCTACAGCAGAAACATGTTCCAGTGTGTAATGCCCTAGTCTACCAGTTCTATATAGATTCAATATCTTAGAAGCAACTCTGAGATCAGCACACTCACTTGCTTCTTCTGAAACCCGTAAAACTGTCTTTAAGGCAACGAATTGCGTCTCTATAAGGCTTCTCATGCTGATATCGTCTTCTAAGTTTCCGTTAAATGCTGAAATAGTCTCGTACAGAACCCTTCGAACATCGTTAACTATAAAATCCTGCAAATGGAAG